CAAAATAGGATTTTGATGCTTTCTCTGGCTTTTTCCTGGTCATCGTGTTGAGCACTGCGCTGCCGCAACATCTATATCCTGACGACAAGCTGAAGTCAGGGCACATGTGTTTTTGGTTTTTAAAGATGACGGGTAAGGGGATCTTAACCCTTGACTCGGTGTTGTCAGCACCACGCTCTCCCAAGTGAGCCACGGGCCGGCCCCCACAGTTGTTCTGGAACAGCTTTTATTGAGATGGAATGTCCATGCCACACAACTCACCCACTTACAGTGTGTGTGACTCGATGGATTAGAGCACACTCAGAGTTTTGCAATCATCACAGCAATTGTAGAACTCTTTCATGACTCCAGAACGAAAGCCCTTAGCCATCATCCCCAATTATTCCACCCCTCCAACCCTAGGCAGCCATTAACCTGCTTTAGTTTCCTACACATCTCATTTTGGACATTTAGTAATACGGGGATCATCCATGACGAGGTCCTTTGTGACCGGCCTCTCTCACTGAGCAGAATGTTTTCAAGGTGCGTGCGTAGCTGTATAGCATGTATCAGCGCTCCGATGCTTCTGCTGACTGAATCGTGCGTTTACATACACATCCCACATTTTGTTTATTCGTTCATCACTTCATGCACACTTGGCTAGTTCTACCTTTGGGCTACGGGGAACAATGCTGCTAGGACCATTTCTATTCAAGGTTTTGTGTGGACGCATAGTTTTATTTCTCTTGGCATATACCTAGAGGTGGGACGCCTGGATCCTACGGTAACTCCGCACTGAATCATTTGAGGAATTTTCAGGCTGTTTCCAAAGTGGTTGGACCACTGTCCAGTTTTCCCAGCCATGTGTGAGGGTTTTAATCTCTACACATCCTTACCACACCGTTTTTATGCATCTTTGTGACTATAGCCGAGGTAGTGGATGTGAAGTGATATCTCATTGTGGATTTGATGTGCATTTCTCTGATGACTAATGTCAAGCACCTTTTGATGTGCTTATTGGGCATTTGTATATTTTCTTTAGAGAACTGTGTGTTCAGATTTTTTGCCAATTTTTTAAAATGAGATACTTTTTATTATCAAGTTGTGATAGTTTTATACATATATTCTGGATACAAGCATCTTATATGATGTATGACTTGTAAAAGTTTTCTCCAATTCTGTGGTTTTATTTTCACTATCTTTCTTTCAGTTTTCTTTTCAGTTTTTCGATGGCATTCTTTTTAATTTTGATGATGTTCAGTTTATCCATTTTTTCTTTCATTGCTTGTGCTTTTGATGTCACGCCTAGAAAACCGTTGCCTAATCTAAGATTCTGAAGATTGACACTTATGTGTTCTTCTGAGAGTTTTATAGTTTTAACCCCCCAGTTTGGACTTGGGGAGCCCAAGGGGAAAGGCTGATGGGACCCAGAGCTCATGCTGGGTGGAAGGGGGTGCCATGGGGTGTGAGAGGAGGAGTATCTGGCAAGCAGGAGCAACCTCGATGGGACCCGGCTGGGAGGGGACAGCTACGCTCCCAGGATCACTGAAGACACCCTTGA